AAAAAAATCTCAATTTATTTTGTTGTACCCTGAAGCTGGAAAACTTTTTTGATTGAGGAACCTATAGCAATTTTTTAAAACCTTAAAGATAATAATGTTTAGATTTAAGGAGTCATCTTCCATTGCTCATTCCACAGCATCCTTGAAAATATGAAGAGCGGGACAGCATTGTTTTTTATTCCTGTTTAGGGCTTGTTCCTTCATTAAGCCCTTCTTGGTAATAGCTCAGCATATAAAGGGGGGTGGCCACTTATTTGGACCTGAGGGCCACTTAGGGAGTTTTGGTGAGCTGTTGCAGGCCAGATCATCTAAAACAAAAACAAACAAAAACACTAGCTGCTTTTTGTTTCACTGACAATTTGCACTTTGATACCAGATATAATAAGTCCATAGTTTAATCAGTTTCTGTGCAGCACTTACAGATATGGCACATCTCTTTTCAAGTTCCTCCTAGACAAAACTTTTGGCTCTCATAAAACTTCCAAAGGATGTATAAGACTCTGCTTTTTCCTTAACTTCATGCCTGTTGCATTTCAACACCTTGTATGCTAATAAAAGGGATAATAGATATCACTTCATCATCTTAGTATTTAAGTCTAAGCTGTCTACATTAATTTTCCACAGCAGTGAGGAGTATCATCACTAATTTTAAATGCATCTGTCAGTTGTCTGATGTCATCAGCATTAAATAGGATGCTTAAATACAGATGAACTTAAATCATACCATTCTTCTCATCTAAAATTCTTACTGTCCAGTTTAAAAACTGGCAAAAAGTGATGATGATTCCATGCCACCTTGTCTTACACCAGCCTTGGATTTGAATCAGTTGCCTAATTTTCCACCAATTACTATGGGACTGCAGAAGCCTTCATAAAAAGATTTTGCAATTAACTTAGCTGGAATGCCATACAATTTTATTACTCTCCATAATGCTTTCATCCAAAACTAATCAATTGTCTTTGTAAAGATGATGTGGAAAACATCTTTCATCCTAATTCTTGCTGTTTTTCATCAACTGTCAAGAGTAATTATCTCATCAATGCCACTTGCACATGGTCTTAGGCTTTCTCACACCCACATCCTTCCTAAAAGTGGCTTTAAACTACTAACTGTTCCTTTCAGGATGGCATTTTATGGTACTGACAGCTAGACTCTACTGCTATAAATTATTTGGGGTGGGAGGAACTTCTTTCCTTAAGGTGTATACAGTTATTGTCTTCAACTAGTCACTTGGTACTTTCTCTATTTCCCATGCCTTCTAACACAGGGGTTTTCAACCTTTTTAATAAGGGTACCTGCAGTGGCCCTCTTTTTAATAAGTGTACCCCCCCAGGTGTGGGGGGGGTGAGCAGCTGGATGCAGCATGGGGGTGGTGAGTGGCTTTGCATGGGGCAAGGGGTGTGTGGGGGGGGTGGCAAGCAGCCAGATGCAGCGCAGGGCAGAGGGGGGTGGGTGAGAGGCCAGGTGCGGTGCAGGGAGGTGATGAGCAGTGGAGTGGTGGCCGTGCAGCTTTTGTGTGGCCTTGCTCTCACCCCACCCTGGCCCTGCTTCTGTGAGTCAGCAGCGTGGGGTGGTGGCGCTCCATCCCTGCCAGCTCCCATATGCCCCCTGGGACCTTTCAAAGTACCCTCAAGGGGTACATGTACCCCTGGTTGACATCCCGTATTCTAACATCATTGTTTCTAATATTTGGTTGGCACTGACTTTTAACAGTTTGGCTGTCCCTGCAGCTCTCCATTTTTTCAAACTATGTTACTGTTCTATTTCTTCAAATTTGCATAGAAGGAATATATTGACTAACACACCTAAAGTGATGTTTTCCAACCACAGTCTTAAAATATTTCATAACCATTTCTGAATTAAACCTCAAAACACTCTGTGAGGGGGGTGTGAATTATTAGCCATATTTTACATATGGGTAAACTAAGTTACAAAGAGTTGAAGATTGATACACATAGGAAAAATGCTTAAACCTCAATGCCTAATCTTACTAGCTTCTAAATCAATAACTATGAACTGAATAAAGGGGCATTGCCAAAAGGGCTAGATTAGCAAAATCATTAAATTCCCTTTCCCAGAGTGATTGTGAATCCATGCTGAACTAATTAGTCACAACTGAATTTTGATGGAGTAACTAAAATATTGAACCTCCTCAGAAAGAATAACTAGTTGGCAGCCCTCAAGCTGTGCTTTTCCAAGCATCATAACAGCTTCCTCAATCATATCTGCTTTCTTCCATTAAAGCAAGACTGGCCCATCCTATACTGCAAAACCTGTGGCCGCAGGGGGCCCCACAGCTAAGGGCCCCCTTGCACATAGACAGCGGAAGTGGGGGGTAACAGGGCTCAGCCCTCCCAAACACAAGGCAGCAGCAGGCATTGCCTTAGGGCAGCCTGGAGGCAGGGTCCTAAAGCAGTGGGGGAGGGACGGACATGCTAAGCTACCCTATGCACTCAGAGCTGGCTCAGCCACAGGCAGGTAAGTTTCCTTTAATTTTTTTTTTTATTTCCATGGGCTTGGAGGGAGGGCAGATGGCGACTCCCACAGTGCAGGAGAGAGTGGGGTAGGGGAAGGGCGAATCATTCATCTCTGCCCCTGGCCCAATCACTCCTGTACTGTGGTGATTGTCCCATGACCCAGCCCATCGCCCATTCACCATGTCTGGGGCCCTGGCTGGGTCTTGGGACAATCAGAGCCCGGCAGCCAGGGGCAATGTGTAGGGGGTGCACGCAGGTGCACATGCACCCCCTGAGTATGGTGGTGCACCCCCTGTGAAAAGGTGCTGCTGACACTGTCAACGCTCACCACCCTGCCGCTGACACCGCCAGTGGCATCTGTGGGTGGTCAGCAATCCCCACTGGCTGCTGCTGATGCTGCCAGCAGCACCTGCACGTGGTTGGCACAACACCCTCCCCACCCCCCCTCTGCCAACAATGCTGGCAGCATCTGTGGGAACTCCCCATTCACCGCCGCTGTGCTCCTGCCACCACCAGTGCAGCTATGCCCGCCCAGCTGCTGGGGGCACACACTGTTCATGCTGGTGGCTCCTCCAGAGGCACAGCGCCGGGCAGCCAAGGCGGGGGGAGGGCATGTGGCCCCCCGATCTTTGCATGGGCAAAGGCAAGCCACACCTGTAAGCTGGGCTCAGCTTCTGCTCCATGTGTCTGCGCCTTGCCACCACCACTTTGAAAGGGGCACCCACTGCTATTGCCTCGCTGCCCAGACTGTCCAGTGGCGGGATGCACACAGTGGTACCCACTGCTTTCAAAGTGGTGGCAGTGAGGTGCAGAGACACAGAGCAGAAACTGAGTCCAGCTGGCAGCTGTGGCCCGCCCTTGCCCATGCAAAGATCAGGGGACCACATGCCATTCCCTCTTGGCTGCCCACTGCCACGACTCTGGAGGAGCCAGCGGGCTCTTTCTGGGGATGACGTGGGGTGGGGCAGGGTGGGCACAGGAGTCCCAGGGGCTCCATCATCTCCAGCCTGGCGGTGAAGCCAAGGCTGGCCCTGCTCTGGGGCCTAGCTTCAAGCCCCTCCAGCTGATGCAGGGAGGCAGCCAGGACCGGGGTGGGAAGATGGTCAGGGCTGGGGTCAGTGCAGCCAGGAGGCAGCTGGGCAGCTGCTGGGGCTGGGAGGCAGCCGATACAGTTGGAGTCAGGACTGAGAAGGGTGTGGCCGGAGCTGGGAGGCAGCCGGGGCCAGGCCTGGGAGGTGGCTGGGGTGGTGCAGTGCCGGGCAATACCACTTCCCCCCCACCCTTGTCCTTTTCCCCTCCTCCCTCAGACTTTCCCATGAGGGGGTGCATATGCATCCAGCCTCTCACCACCCACTCCCACTCACTGCTGCTGCCTCTGGCTTTTTTGGTGCAGGGGGCCCCAAAACTATTACTTGCATGTGGCCCCCAAAACTGGTAGGCTGGCCCTGCATTAAAGAATAATATTTGAGGATGTCTCTGCTTCTACCATCATGTGCCCCAGTCTCCCATTCCTTCCAAAAGTTGAGTGAAATAGGTGGGCTTTGAAACATATTCTACATCAACAGGTTTTGAACCAAATGGGGGAAGAAGGGCCGAGATAAAGTGCTTCTACATTTCACCTGCAGCACAGGGGGAGTCGTCTCCAGTAAATGCCATGTAAGATGATTTAGGTCCAATCCAATGCCAACAAATCATCAGCCAGTGTAGGTAACAGAGAAGCCATGTAATAAGATGTTGTGCGACATTACTTTTCCCACATGTTAAATGCTCTTAAGACAGGAGTGTCCATGTGTTAAGGCCAGAAAAGATGAACTAAGTGCCTTGTAATGATACCCAAAGCATACTAATGTCAATGAGATATGTCATGTACGTAAGAGGATAAATTCTGTATCAACTTCAGTTTCTGCATAAATGTATAGTCCCGTTCAGATCACATTGCAATTATTCAGTGTCAAGGTGACAAAGGCTATACCAAATAAGGCATCTTTAAAGAAATAGGTGCAACTTCTTGGCTACATGTATGAAGAGCGAGTTGTTCTGTCCATTTCAATACCAATATTTCTTTCTGTAAAATATAAGGAGCAAGGAATGTATCCGATTCATTTAATATTATGTTACATAAGCATGAGACAATATAATGTGCTAGAAGAAATTAGGGACTCTCCATCATGCCCAGTTTCTGGTATAATTCCAGTATATGTTATAGAATCTGGATGATTATAGTATTGGATTTCCAATAATTTATGTTATTTGGTTCATCCTATGATTGCTACACTGTGCTGGAGGTATTTGGCCTCTAAGAACAGCTCTTCATGTGTTCCTCATAGTGATACAAGCTTGATACTTATGAATTGTTCGTCAAACTGTTCGTCCTTCTCAACCTGGAGGGACGTGGGCAGTGGGGTTCCGCAGGGCTCAGTCCTTGGGCCCGCGCTGTTCAACATCTTCATCAGTGATTTGGATGAGGGGGTAAAAAGCACCCTGCTCAAATTTGCTGATGACACTAAGATGTGGGGGGACGTGGGCACACTAGAAGGAAGCAACAGGCTACAACCTGACCTAGACAGGCTACAAGGGTGGGCGGATGA